AAACTTTAATTAGTATTTTACTGGGAAGTTGCCAGTAACAAGTTATACAAATTGTTATTTTAAAAATAACTGGTATAAATTAGCAAGTTTTCTACTTCGCAGATAAGACTTGAAATTCCACAATGAATGAATGAATGAAAAGAATTCAATTATTCCTGCCTGAATTTAAATATGTATAACATTTATATCTTGTTTTTCTTCCAGATTTCCTCCAACTATTTAATCAAGGAATCTTCTAAGGCAGGGCTGAAATAGTAACTGGCTCAAGATCATTCAGAATGTTACATGGTTGATTGGAAATTTGAATCGCGACTAGGATCACTATATCATCTTATCTCTTTGATGACTATAAGGACTATTTTACAGGATTCTTGAATCTCCCGCAGCAAAACATTTTCCAGTTAAGAATAACATGATTCACTGAGAATGTTTGGAATGGGCCCCCTCTTTTGCTTCCCTTAAAAAGTAAGTTTGACAATTTATATGCAAAAAGTGTTTGTACTGTATATTAAATTTCTCTTTGCATTCTCATCAGTTGGACTAGAAGACCTCCAAGGTCCATTCCAACTGTGTTATTCTGTTACTCTTCCAATCCTGAAATTCACTGAGTCATCACAGACTGAAAGACAAAAACTATACTAAAAACCTCAGCCCTGAGCTGGGACCGGGAAGTGGGGGGGATTATTTGCATGGCAGAAGAATCAGGTCCGTTGCCTTACAATTTTTTTCAAAATACCGGTATGTGCATTTTGGACATACAGTATGTCCTTATGTCCATGTGTAATTTTATTCTAGTTTTCCAAGCGCATAAGTTTACGCAACACAAATAACAAATAGTATATCTTCATTGGAGGAGATAGGGAAGTTATGAAGTTCAATAGAGTATTATATATTTCATAAGCATCCTTAGGGTATGCAGAAAATATTAAAATTAAAATAAATTGTATTTATATAACATGCAGAAAGGGGAAGGCCATTCAAACAAAATCACAATAACTAGTACTTCACATGATAATGATTTTTTTTGAAATTGAATTAATTACTATCAGGTAATTGAGGAAAGATGAAATGGTTTCCCCTTCCCAAGTAATAGTTAAAGAAAAACAATGAAGAATTTTTGAACTGAGATCCACTGCCCACTGAAGGTAAGGAGAGGTTTTGGCGCTAAATTGGGGTGGCCCCAGTCCCCTATGGTCTTTCCTTTATACTTAGGGGCTTACATTATTATTAAGTATATTCAGCATGAAAAGAACATTCATTTGTGCTTCAAGCTGCTTTTATTTTCTAATTTCTACCACTGTGCAGTAATATGAGAAAAATCCTTTTCAGAAAGGTAAAGCAAGTAGACAAAATAATGCAGAGATATTGCAGTTTACTTTCTGTAAACTCCATCTTGCACCATAAACATTTAAGGATTGGAAGACATCTTGGAAATAGTATCGGGGGGGGATCTAGTTTAATGGCTAAAAAAGCTTTAAATAACCAACCCATGTTTAATTATATTACTTGAGACTACATATAAGATAATGCATAATTTAACACACCAATATAACTCATAGACTCAATGCTTCTGGCACAGAATTCTAGGTATCAAGAAGAAGATCTCTAGGCTTGTTGCCACCTGATATACCAGGCTTCTATACATACAGATTTACTCTGTAGGGGAGAGGGAGAGAAAACATTTATATATGATTGTCATTTAAGTGATAAGGTGTGAAAATCAAGCCAGAAGCCTAAGAAAAATCTCTCATATGTATAACAAATCCTGATGATTTGTCTTGTAGGATTCTACAATCCTACAATAAATAAATAAAAAAAGTAAATAAATAAAAAAAGTAAATTAGCATAACTCTTGAGTTATAATCTTTTATAATATAGATGAAAAATAGCAATAAAATTTGGAATGATTAATTGGTTTATCAGTGAAGATAAGGCATCCTTGGGTAAGAACTAAAAAAACCCTCAAAAACTTGAATGAAGTGGAATTGTTTTTAAAATATTAAGTGTGATTCCATTGAAGATCAAACAGCTTGGCTTTATGTCAATCAGAAAGATTTCTTGGGACAGCTAGGGTCTCCATGGTTTCCTTTTTTAAAAGAAGTAATTCCTTTACTTGATTGGAGAGCCAAATCTGGTGTAGTGTTTAAAATACCAGGCTAGAAACTAGGAGACTGTGAGTTCAAGTTTTGTTTTAGGCACAAAGCCAGCTGGGTGACCTTGGGCCACTTCCCATCTCTCAGCTTTAGGAAGCAGGCAATGGCAGATGACTTCTGAAATCTCACCCCCAAAATGGGAGGGAGGGAGGGAGGGAGGGAGGGAGGGAGGGAGGGAGGGAGGGAGGAAGGAAGGAAGGAAGGAAGGAAGGAAGGAAGGAAGGAAGGAAGGAAGGAAGGAAGGAAGGCTGCCTTTACTGGGTGGGAAATTTATTTCAATGCAGTATTTTAATTTATCTAGTTTGGTAACAATTTGAAACTTTATTCTATTTTTTCTTTATTGTGGTACCCAAAAGTTAACACCTTGTGTATCACGTTTTGTTGAACTGAATCATTCTCTACATTTATTATTTTATTATTAGCAGCCACATTTCCAGTATAGTGTTTTAAAAGGTACCCTATCTTTAATCTGAAAGTAAAAAGAACTTTGCTTTTCACATGTTCTATTAGAAGATCTGAGAGATATTCAATGTTGGACCCCAATGATTACAGGTTGTCCTCAAGTTAAGAAAGTCCAACTTATGGAACTTATGGACAACCCACACTTATAAACAGGCAGTCTTTTAGTAAAGATTGTGGATTGCATTCTCTTTCCTTCAGCCAACAAACTACAAATCCACATAACATTTTCATATACTCCAGACATCACTGCAGTAATTGTGTTTAGACCAATTCCCTTAAATGTATATTTCTTCAATATATGCAACAACACTCTTATAATAAAATGAGTAGACTATGCATGAGCATCCATTACAAATGGACGCTCATGTATATAGCAAAAGAGTTCTCTCCTTGACAAAACATACGTCAAACATTATGCAGATGGAATCAAATGAGCAAATCCAAAATCTGCATGGGCAATATGGTTTTAAGCAACAGAAAGACCCAATTCAGCTTTAATTTTAGTAATCTAAGAAATAAAATTGTTGCTCTAATATTAATAATTTAAAAAGTCAAATTAGCTAACATATCAGATCATTAGAACTGTCATCATGGGATACATTGTTAAAAGTTCTTAACTGTAACTGTTTAACCCATTAATTGAATCTTTTAATTAATCTATTAAATCCATTAATTAATTTTAAAGCTATTTCTGTTCTCTGGCAGAAATTTAAGATCTATTTATATTCTGCTACAGCTTCACTTTTTAAACAGTCTAACACCTAAACACTTCCCTCATTTAAACATTCAATTGTGTTATTGATTACTGAACAATTAATACTGTCCTTGATTAAGTGCTGCTCTGGATCTCATTTAGCAATTATTAATATAAGCAAAAGCCCAGGGCCTCCTGATATCAGCAATCTACAATAGCAACTGGTCTTGTAAGCAATTGACACTGCATAATCAAGTATGAAAAAGCTGAACTCTTGCTCACCTCCTTTCTATTTCTGATGCTCTGACTGCTGTCAAAACTCTGGGCCCTTAGCTGCTACTCTGCTGGAGGAAGAATAAAAGACAGTGGTGGTAGACAGAGTAGGTGAGCAAAATGGGCAGTGGCAGGCTTGAGAGACTAAGAAGTGTGGGGACCACCTTTTACAGGGGCAATCACTGTGACAAAAAAAAAAAAAAAAAAAGACGGGCCAGATAACAAAATGGACAATTGGTTTGTCAAGGCAGAGCAAAAATATGGTGTAACAGAGCCCAGCTTTGCCTGGTGGCAAAACTGAAATACCCAGGAGTTGAACCATACAGTTTCAAAACTCATGATTTGAGCATTAATCAACTGATGGTTATTCTAATGCAAAAATAAAACTAAGACAACTAGTCAGTTATTTTACAGGAAGAAGAAATACGAAATTTAAAACTGGCTAAGTATCGATTACTTAATTCTGCTTCATTTAACAGGATATATATATGTACATATATATCCATAATTAACCAATCATACTTAACATATGAGTATAAGTTAAGAGCTATAAATATTGAATTATGGAAAAATGTGTTTAGGCTGTGAATTGCATCCAAAATATTCTTTTAAATCTTCACTGCACTGAATTACTAATCAAATTCTTTGAACAATTTAAACCCCAAAGAGTCTGCTGGCAGCATACAAGCCACAATCTGTCCCAAATTATATCTCTCATGTCCTGCCCCCAAATTACCTGGGGAGATTTCAGTCACAGAAGCTGAAGTACCTGATTACCCATTTCAGACACTTATTAAGAATTGATGAATCCTATGAAGCACTAACACACAAAATAACCATGCTGTGTGAACCCAGGTAAACTATGAGACTAGAATCTGTTACCTCAGATTATAATAATACATAAATTAATGAAACATCTAATTAAAATTCTGAATATGTAAGTTCTTCCTTTTCTTACTTCATACTGATTAATATATTTAATTCCCCATTATGTAAAGCTGCAGTTAGACAATTAAGTGAGACTATAAAAATTTGGAATGAATATCCAACAAGATTAATGAAATTGATCTGAAATTGGCTATAATAAGCTAGAGTACTGAAACCCTATTTTTCACAGCCAGAACACTCACACAGAGAAAACTGTTCATTTACAGTTATTAACAAACCCAAACTCACAATTTATATTTATTATCAAACATTCTAAAGCACAAAGCCAGGCTGTCATTTAAAATGCAGTCAGTCAACTGTATGTTCCACTATCTCTGTCAAGCTGTCAATATTGTACACATGATTCAATCTTATGTGATGAGACCCGAATTACAATCCACAAAACTGGTTGCTTATCAAATTTTTAAATTGTTAAGATATGCTGACCAGCTGCCAAAAAAATTACAACAAATTTATATTTACAGACTTACTTTTCGCCCATCACTTGCATGACAATTCACATTTAAAGGTGTCAACAAAGCCATTAGTTTTTCTTCATTGCCACTCCTGCAAAGAAGAAATGGAAGGGAGAGGAAGTCCCTTATAGAATATATGAAATGGAGTTTCACATTAACATCATGTTCACAATCCACCTTGTGTGCATTTTGACTTAGAAAAATTTTGCTTCAATTATTTCCTTTAAAATATGCCTATATAAACATATACAATAGAATAATTTATCGTATTTTAAATATAATAAATATACATTTCCCAAATTGTTGCAATATTCCTCAACTATAAATAGCTTCCAGCCTCTTGCTCGAGCTTTTCTATAACATATATGTAAATGAAGGATGTGCCTTTAATTCATAAGGTAGAGAATAAAAAAATATCCTCACATAATTTCTCATTAAAAATCGCTTTTTAAACGTAACAGAATTTGAAATGCATCCTGTCTAAATTCAACTGTAACTATACTGTAACAAGCAACTATTTAGCTTTTTGCAAGTAGTTAAATCCAAAAGACTCATGTTAACAAGGACTGCTTATCTGCCCAATTTTATAAAAAGATAATGACAACATGACAGATCATAAAAACCCATTTTCACCCTGATTTCTACCACCTCTCTTCAAAAACAATACATTTGTATTCTGAACAGCACTTACCTAGCAGCTTCCAAGAGTTCGTCCTTCTTGTATTCACCTAAATGATTGCAAAATATCATGCTGTTAGCATTTGGCAGAAGACAGATGAAGAAATGCAGCAGAAAGCAAATACAGAATTAAACAGAGAACAGGAGGGGGGGCGACAAGCAAGCCCACACCCCGCTGGGTGATGGAGCTGTGACGTTAGTCAGCTTGTGAAGGCAGCATCACCAGTACCTTGGAGACGGGCAGCAAATTGACGCAGCTTCTTATCCAATCCTCAGATGAAATGGCTTTCTTCAGACAACCAATGAATGCTGAACCTCTGTCCAGAAACAATCCCTCTGATAACAGCATGGCAGCTGAGTACAGTGTCTCCTCCCCCATTTTTCCTATTCAGTCTCTTAGCACACTAGTATAGCATAAAGGCACTGACACACCCCAAGACTTTTTTTTAAAGGTACACATAATAAGGTCTGGAGTATTTGTAGCCTCAAAATTATCTTGCAATAGATTTATTTCAGAGGTGATTAAAACTGTGTCCAAAGTATATATTTGTAACCTTAAGAAAACCAGTGCACCATAATAAAACATGTGGGGAAAGACAAAAGTATTCTTTCTGACAATAGCATTTTAAAATCGGCCATTAAAATGGTTGTCTGTTTTTGTATCTTTTGGAAAGAATGAAAAATTAATACCCTGAAATTTAACTCTATCTCACTACCATGTCCTTCACTAAATATCTGAAGTATACTGCCTTTGAAAATTTTAACGTTTTAGTCTTTGAAATCTTTATTAAAAAAATGTAGTAGATAATTTTGCATTCTATTCTATCTAGAATGGGGAGACATTTTAGAGTAAAAGTTATAAATTCAAGGAAACAGAATAGTCTTTATAAATCAAGCTTATCTCCAAGAAAGAAATATTAAATGTAGGTGGATTACTCAATTTCATTTGTGGGTCTTTATGAATGGCAAAGCTTTTATACTCTCCATAGAAGATGCTAAGAAAATGCTTGAGTCATGAACTAAAACAAAATGAGAAAAAATGGAAATTGATAGAAATTGGATCAGACATTTTCCTACCCTTATATTTAATTAATCACTGACTTCATGGATTAATTTTTTAAAAAATCAACAAAGATTAAGAAACTGAATAGCACATTCAAAAAAGGAGAGGAAAAGAAAAAAATGAGAAAGCAGACAGTAGATATTTATAAAATACAATTTTAAAAAGATTGTATTAATATGTTACAATGTAAACATAGGTCAAAATCATGTGGGAACAATAGAGTATTAATATATATTAGGAACTTATCATAAAGCACAAAATTCCAGATGAAATAGAAATATTTTTATTACTAAGGTTTCAAACTGAACAACGGAAAATTGCAATTGCTTCAATTTATGCTTTAAAAGATAACTATAGAGAATAACTTGTGATTTTTTTCAATTTCTTCTTGAAATTGCAAGGTATTTTTTGATTCCTGGAAATATTGACAAAATTCTTTACGTAAATGTCGATAAATTTGGTTCATATCAAAGAGTTCTGCAAATTGCCAAAAATATCATAGATTATGTGTCATTACTTTCTTCCTTAGATGTTTAAAGACATACCCTTTAGAGAAAAAATATACATTTATTTATTTATTTATTTATTATTCAAATTTCTATACCGCCCTTCTCCTTTCGGACTCAGGGCGGTGAACAGCCAAAATAAAAACATTTATACATAAATACGATTAAAAATAGATTTAAAATAATTAAATTTGGCCATAGTTTAAAATTTATCAATTTAAAATCCATATCAAAATTTAAAACCAACCATAAAATCATAAAATCAAGAGAGACCGGCTAACTGAAAGAGATGAGTTTTTTAGGGCCCGACGAAATATCGACATATCGTTCCCCTTCTCTTAACATTAATTCAAGGATAGATATGCAGTTGATGTTTAATTCACTATTACTGAAATGTGAAGAAGTTGCAACACTTAATTCAAAAAGTAATACTGTACCAAAGAATCACTAGCTTGAAAAAGTAGAATTGAATAGCCTATTATTATTACAAGAAGCTATCAAATTGAAGTGCCAACCTGAATTAAAAAGCATCTTCCAAACAAACTCAGCTGTTGATGTTTCTTTATTCACAGTATGAAAATCCAGTAAAACATTTCTGAGAGTATTATTTATTTCTTTGGCATTAAATAGAAAGAAAACTTCAGAGAGCATTCTAGTCAGTTAAAGAATGTCACCATCTTTTATTTTTTTATTTTACTGGCGTCTTTTATTGTGTATTTTGGGGGGGGGGCTTTATGATGTACTTTTATTATATTTGTTTTATGGAAATGGATGGATAGACAAATGATTCAAAACTATTAAAATCAATGCAAAACAGAAACCAATACTTGATATTATATAAAAGATTTAAATGATTTATAAACTGCATTTGTACTGCATTTTTGTGCAGTGAAAAAAATTAAGTTTAAATTAAGTTTGGTGAAACCATTAACTAGGGTTCTTCTTTTTCCATGTCTAGATCAAACTTTAAACTGCTAGAATGAAGCCACCTGCTTGGCTTTGTCGTTGTCCAAAAATAAGTTATTATCGGTATATGTTTCTGGTAGTAGATGACATACCAGCAGATGAACCGGGCTCTGTGTCTCTCCACAATCTCATAGCGTGTTGCTATCCAGCAAGAGCTTCCACTTGAGAATATTGGTTTTACATTTAGGAACTCCAACTCTCAACCAATTTAGGGTCCTCCAAGTGGTGTAAGGGAGGTCGGATCCTTCAGCCATATCCTCCTTTAATATTATTCCTTGCTTGATAGTCTTCTTCCTCCATCTTTTAATTCAAGTTTGTTCTTGTGTACCCTCAAGAATGTTTCTTCTTTCCATAAAGCTGTTCCTAGATCTGAGTCAGTGGGCTTGAGGCATATTCAGAGGATGTAGAGGATCATTTTCTTGCTTAGTTCTCTTGGCATCTGCTGTTATTTCTCTGATCTTAGGTGGGGCGATGCCAGTGAGAGGATATATTTTCTCCACTGGGGTAGGTTTGATAAATGTCATTAAGTGTACTGCTTCACTGAGGGCAATATCAATTTGTTTCACATGTACAGATGTGCCTCACACTGGCGCAGCACACTCTGCTGCAGAGACGCTCAACACCAAAGCTAATGTGTGCAACATAGCTGGTTGAACTCCCCCCATGAATAGTCTATCAATTTCCTGATGATATTGTTCCTCAAGCTGACTTTAGCCTTAGTGCTACTTAGAGATACTTCCGTGTTGGACAGTCTTGTAGTTGGTTCCCCTTACAACATAACATCAAACTCTTCCCTTGCATCTCAATTTCAGAAGTGAAAAGCACACATTTGGGTCTGGTTGGGGTTGGGTTTTAAATGATTGATGGTATGATAATGTTCTAATTCTTCGAGTGTTACCATAAGTTTCCCAGCTACCTCATCAAAAGTTGATTCTTGGGTGGCCGAGAAGAACGGGCAGGTTCTTCGGGGCCAGAGGCTTTCCCTTCACGCTGGCGGCAGTGGAACGACAGCCATGGCGGCTGTCCCGAAACCACAGCAACCGGGAACAAAGATCGTGCTGGAGGAGAGGAGGAGAAGCGAAAAGCAGAGAGCGGAGCAGGGAGTTTGCTAGGCGAGAACTGCCCGTAAATATTGGATTATAAAAAGTGTGCCCCAGCCTTAACAGCGGCTAAGAAATATCGGGGCAAAAAGACTCAAATGAATGGTGGAGAACAAGACCTGTTGATAGATAATTTTAGACTTTTTGGAAATGATTTTACTACGGATATGGAATATCCCTCCCTTCCCCATCACTCCTCGCCTGGCCTGAGAAGGGAAGGGCAGGGGCTGGAGATTCACTCCATATTCCAGACCAGGAGCGAAGTTTCATCTGTTGCTGGGTCTTGCAGGCATTTCTTCCAGCCCTTGTTGGTGCTCCATGCATCTCGGTTGGACGGGGAGATGTGCGACTTCCTCTCACCCCCGAGACACTGGCCTGGCCTGGCCCGGCTGTTTCTCTCTGCTGCTGCTGTTGACACCTCCATGGCCGGCCTGTTGCTCTTGCAGCGCAATTAAATTTAGCGTGCTTCACAATGGAGGCGACAGTGTCCCCTTCTCCTCCTGGAGCCCATTACAACGCAGAGCATCAGTTGCAGCCAGGTCGGATGAGTGTCTCGGGGCAGAGAGCAGGTCATGTGTCTCCCCGAGGGACCAAGATGCATCCAGCACCAACAAAGGCTGAAGAAGCATCCACGAGACCCAGAGAGCGCTGGAGAATCAGAATATGAGAGAGAGAGAGAGAGAGAGAGACAGAGGGGAGAGAGAGACAGAGAGAGGAGAGAGAGAGGAGACAGACAGACAAAGGGAGACAGAAAAAGAAAGATGAGAGAGAGAGACAGAGAGGGGGGAAAGAAAGAGATGAGAGATAGACAGACAAAGAGAGTGGGGAGAGAGATGAGAGAGAGAATGAGAGATGAGAGAGAGAGAAAGAGATGAGAGAGAGAGAAACAGAGGGGAGAGAGAAGACAGAGACAGACAGGCAGACAAAGAAAGGGGGAGAGAGATGAGAGAAAGAGATGAGAGAGAAGGGGGAGAGAAAGAAAGAGAGAGACAGACAGAGAGAGGGGGAGAGAAAGATAGATGAGAGACAGACAGACAGAGGGGGGAGAGAGATGAGAGACAGAGAGACAGAGAGGGGGAGAGAAAGAAAGAGAGAGAGACAGACAGAGAGAGGGGGAGAGAAAGACAGATGAGAGACAGACAGAAAGAGAGGGGGAGAGAGACAGAAAGAGACAGACAGAGGGGGAGAGAGAGATGAGAGAAAGAGAGAGATGAGAGGGAGACAGAGAGAGGAGAGAGAAAGAGAGAGACAGACAAAGGGGGGAGAGAGGGGGAGAGAGAGAGAAAGAGATGAGAGAGAGAGAAAAAGGGGGGAGAGAGAAGAGAGAGACAGACAGACAAAGAGGGGGGGAGAGAGAGAGATGAGAGAGAGAAAGAAAGAGATGAAAGAGACAGAGAGGGGGAGAGAAAGATGAG